CCTTATAGTTTACTCTTTGTTTTTCCCTTGCTGCTTTCAGAATTCTCTCCTTATATTTGGTTCTGGCATGTTTAACTATGATATGTTTTGGTGTTTTTCTTTTGAGTCTATTCTATATGACATTCTCCCAGCTTCTTAATTATACATATTCTCCTGTTCTTCATTATTCCTTGCAAGTTTTCTTCTAGTGTTTTTCCAAAACTTTTTTGGTGCCTTTACTTGCTTTTTCCTGTTCTGGGATTCCAATTATGCAAATGTTATGTCTCTTGATGGTGTCCCACATTATTCTTAGGTTTTCTTCTTTTCCCTTCCTTTTTTATTCTGCTTTCGGGAGGCTGGGCTCTATGAGGAGAAATGTGGGGTCAAGATTGGTGGACGATTTATCAACAATCTGCGTTATGCGGATGACACAACCCTGCTTGCTGAAACTGAAGAGGACCTGAAGCGCCTGCTGCAGAGTGTCAAGGACTGCAGCCTCCAATATGGATTGAGGCTCAATGTCAAGAAGACAAAGATTCTCACCACTGGACAAATTGGCAGCATAAGGATGGATGGTGAAGAGATTGAGATTGTACACAGCTTTAGTTTGCTTGTAGTCAACAGTCTTGGCACCAGCAGCCAGGAAATTAAAAGGCGTATTGCCTTGGGAATGTCTGCTGTTAGGGACCTCTCCAAAGTGCTGAAGAGCGATGGTATCTCTTTGGAGACTAAGGTGTGTCTGATACAGGCCATGGTCTTCGCAATCACCTGTTATGCATCAGAGAGTTGGACAATGACCAAGGAGGATAGAAGGAGAATTGATGCCTTTGAGCTGTGGTGCTGGAGAAGAGTATTGTGAATACCATGGACTGCCAGGAAAACAAACAGATTTGTGCTGGAAAGGGTTAAACCGGGTGGCTCCTTGGAGGCAAGGATTCTGAGGCTCCGTCTAACACACTTTGGACATGTTGTGAGGAGAGACTGGTCCTTGGAGAGGGACATCATGCTTGGGAGGGTGGAGGGACAGCGCAGGAGAGGAAGGCCCTCTATGAGGTGGACTGATTCAGTGACTGGGACAATTGGGATGGGAGTGTCAGAGACAGTGCAATTGGCACAGGACAGAGCGGAGTTTAGGGCTGTTGTACATAGGGTCGCTATGAGTCTCAAGTGACTCGACGGCACATAACAACAACAACAACATAGCAGATCAATGGTGACAATTCTATCTTCTATCTCACTGGTTCTGTGTTCCATCTCTTCAGCCCTCCATCTTGTTGACAGCATCTGAAACATTGGTCCTCATATTTTGGGTTGTGGTTTCTTGTTTTTCGTGGGTTTTTTTTTTTTTTTAGAGCTTCTAATGCCTCATTTGTTTTATCTGCATTTATCTGTCTTGGATTATTTTTTCAAGCTCCACCTAGTTTTTGCTTGCAGTGTACCATAATTCTTCAGGCTTGTCTTTTACACATTGAAAATATTCAGTTTTTTTTTTAATTAATTCTTTGTTAGAAAGTTTTATCAGAGTTTCTGGCTTCAGGAAATCAATTGATACTGTGTCACTTTTTTGGGGTGACAACTTGCTTTGTTATGTTAATATATGTTAATAAAACACAAATAAGACATTATTCTATTATTCTTTGCTTTCTGCCAAGATCCATCTGACATCATGCTATCCCGGGTGCCATGGTCTCTTCTAAACCAAGCTTCAATTTCTGGAAGTTCTCTATACTGTCCTAGCTGGTCTTTGTTATATTCAGTAATATTTACTTGCATGTGATATGTATGATATTGTTAGATAATTTCCATACTCTGTTGGATTACCTTTCTTAGGAATGAGAATATGGATCTCTGCTAAAATACTTTAGAACAACAGTTTGTTGGTTTTTTTAGAACTGCTTTATGATGTCCCTTTTCAATTCTGTCATCAAGAAATGTCTGAAAAATGGTTTTGACAGTATTTCATTAAGACATACTAAGTTGAAGAAATGATAGAAAATATTTCATTTGTAAAAATATTATATGAAATCTTACTTGCAAATTTCCTATAAGCTGGGACATAAAAAAGTCTTAATACTTGTATGTATCTTTAAATAGAATTGTATCTCAAGGTTCTACATCATAAGCCTTAATGATTCTATCAAGAGCTTTGAAAATTGTGCCACTTTAAACCTGTATAGTGGAGAGTTGGAAAATCCTTTTCAGATATCTCATTCAACTTCATTTTATTGATGCAAAATCATATCCAATGGTTACATAGATTTTTCAAGATTATATATATTTAGTGGCAATTGGAAACATTATATACTTAAATCTTTGTCCAATGTTAGTTTTTATTCATAGGTGCTGTCTAGTCAAGTACAACTCATAGTGACCCTATAAACAACAGATATGAACCCTGTCCTATCTTGTGCCATCCTCACTCTTTCTTACACACTAGAGCCACTGCAGCAGTAACTGTGTAAATCCCCCTGGCCAAGAGTCTTCTTCTCCTTTGCTGACCCTCCACCCGGACAAGCATCATGTCCCTCTCCAAGCAATAGCCCCTCCTAGTAACATGCCCAAAGTATGTGAGGTGAAGCTTCAACATCTTTGATGCCAAAGAGCACTACAGCTGCACTCTCTCCAAGACATATTTGTTTGTTCTTCTCGCCATCCATGGTATGTTCAGTACTCCTCTCCAACACCACAGCTCAAAGGTATCAATTCTTCTTCTGTAATTCTTATTCATTGCCCAACTCTCAGATGCATAGCAAGTGAGTAGAAAGATTATGGCCTGACAGGTGTACCTTAGTCCTCAAACTGACATCATTACTCCTCAATAGTTTGGAGAGGTCCCTAACTGCACACTTTTCCAGAGCAATGTGTCTCCTTACTTCCTGATTGCTCGTATCAGTGGTGTTAATTGTGGATTCAAGCAAGTTGTTGTTGTTGACAGTTTCAATCTCTTCTCCATTCATCTGATAATGCTTGTTGGCCCAGTGTTAAGAATCTTTGTCTTTTTGATATGCAATTCATATTGAAGGTTGCAGTCCTTGATTTTCTTCAACAAGTACTTCAAGTCCTCCTCACTTTCAGCAAGTAAGGTTTTGTCATCTGCATAATGCAGGTTATTGATGAGTTTCTCTCAAATCCTGATGCCACATTTCTCATAGAGTCCAGATTTTCAAATAATTTGTTCAGCATACAAACTGTATAGGTATGGAGAGAGAAAACAACTGACATACCCTCTCCTTGATTAAAAAAACAAATTAAAAGAAAAAAACCAACATGGATATCAGGAGAGACTCTAAAAATTACACTAGAGCATTGAGAAGCTAAAACAAAGGGGATATGCCAAAGGAAGACAGCTGAACAGAAGATTTCAAAAGGCAGCTGAAGAGGACAAAGAAAAAGTTATTATAATCGAATGTGCAGAGAGCTGGAATGAAAGAATAAAAAGGGGAGAACTCACTCTGCATTTCTCAAGCTGAGATTAGGAAAAAACACCTGGCCAACTGACTGGAAGATATCTATATTTGTTCCCATTCCAAAGAACGGTGACCCAAGAGAGAGTGGAAATTATTGAACGGTATCACCAATATCATATGCAAGCAAGAGTCTGCTGAAAAAATTATATAAAAACAACTGGAACGGCACATCAACAGAGAACTGCCAGAAGTGAAGGCTGGGTTTAAAAGAGGCCATGGCACTAGGAACATTATAACTAATGCTAGATGGATCTTGCCAGAAAGCAGAGTATGAGAGGATTATCTATCTGTGTTTCATGGACTGTGCAAAGGCATTTGTGTGGATCACAACAAATTGGGGCTAACTCTAAGAAGAATGGGAATCCCAGAACACTTGATAGTGCTTATGCAAAATCTAAATACTTGGACAAGGAGGCAGTTGTCAGAAGAGAACAAGGAAACACTGCATGATTCAAAATTGGGAAGGGTGTAAGCCAAGGACGTGTCCTATCTCCATACATTTTCAATCTATATGCATGACAGATTATCTGGGAGGCTGGGTTCTATGAGGAGAAATGTGGCATCAGGATTGGAGGAAGACTCATCAACAATCTGTGTTACTGCAGATGATGCAACCCTGATTGCTGAAAATGAGGAGGACCTGAAGCCCTTGTTGTAGAAGGTCAAGGAGTGCAGCCTTCAAATATGGATTGAAGATAAACATGAAGAAAACAAAGATTCTCATCACTTGGATGATTAGTAGCACTGTAACAGACCATGAACATGAAGAGACTGAGATTGTTAACAGCTTCAGTTTACTTGATTCCACAACCAACACTCTTGGTATTAACAACCAGAAAATGAAAAGATGAATTGCATTGGGAAAGTCTACTGTCAGAGACCTCTCCAAAGTACTGAAGAGCAATGATGTCAGTCTGGAGACTAAGGTGCAACTGATTCAGACTATGGTCTTTGCAATAACTTGCTCTGTGTAAGAAAGCTGGACAATGACTAGGGATTATAGAAGAAGAATTGATGCCTTTAAGCTGTGGTACTAGAGAAGAGTATTGAATATACAATAGACTGCTAGAAGAGCAAACAGGTTCTTCCTAGAGAGGGTGAAACCAGGCTGGTCCTTGGAGGCAAGGATTCTGAAGCTTCGTCTGACATACTCTGACATTTTGTAAGAAGGAACCAGTCCTTAGAAAGGGACATCATGCGTGGCAAGGTGAAGGGACAGCACAAGAGATGAAGAAACTCGATGAATGGATTGATTCAGTGAGTTGGAAAATGGGGGTAGTTGTGTTGGAGATAATGAGATTAGCACAGGATAAGGCAGCTATGAGTTGTAAGCAACTCATTGACATATAACAACATGGGCAATGGAGTGAATGATCCAGAAAGCATCAAAAGAAGATGGAGGGATGACATAGAATCACTGTACCAAAATGAACTGAATGACACTACAATATTTCAGGAAGTACCATTATGACCAAGAGCCAATGGCAATGAAGGAGGAAGTAGAAGCACTGAAAGCAATGGCAAAATATAAAGCCCTAGGAATTGATAGGGTACCAATTGACTTGTTTCAATTAACGGGCTCAGCCTTGGATGCGCCCACTGGTCTGTGACAGGATATTTGGAGGACAACTGTCTGTCCTGAGGATTGGAGTTATTCCCATTCACAAGAAAAGTGATCTGAATGTGAAGCAAAATACTGCTATTATATCATTCAAAAATGTCTAGAACAATACATGGATAGGGAACTGCCAGAAGTTCAGGTAGGATTTAGAAGAGGCTGTGGCAATAGGGATATCATTGCTGATGCCAGATGGATCCTGCCTGAAAGTAAAGAATACCAGAACAGTGTCTATTTTACCAGAACAGTGTGCTTTATTGATTATGCAAATTCATCTGACTGTGTGGACAGTAACTGGATGATATTGGGAGAAGTCGGAGTCTTAGAGCACTTAATTGTGCTCATGTGAAACCCATACCTTGACCAGAAGGCTGCTGTGTGAACAAAGCAAGGAAAAACTTCATGGTATTTTTATCCAATATGAAGGGGTAAAATTAAAGGCTTTATATTCTTAAACTCTTAAGCTGTAGTATGAACACTAGTTTCAAAAGGTAGAACTTGGTAGAAAAATTATTACTGTGATGTTAAAGCTACCAATTACCAATTTTTCCAATACACCACAATGAATAAACATAGTAACTGAAAATACCAGCACACAGGATATCACTTCTAAAATTATAATTCTACACACATTCATCTTTCATGACTTTTTAATTTGTTATGCATTTTTAAAAATGAAATTACATTTATGATCCAGAGCTGAAAAAAATTCCTACCACTGCATTACTAAAATTCTTCTAAAATCTTATACAGTTGGACTTCAATCCACTTTTAGCAATGAGTGGGTAGCATCGGATTCTAGAAATTAAGGATTTTAGGTACGTTATAGTTTTTAGGCCATCATGAATTTGCACCATTTGTCTACTCACAAGGGTAACAATGTCTCTATTAAATAACTACAGCCTATTTAAATTGAGGTACATAAAACATGTCAATCTCACCGAGACTTTAAACTTATTATTAAACGCCACAAAATAATATTCTTACAAGAAATTATTCACTCAAAACTCATTGATGTGCATTCGGAATAGACCCAAAGCCGACCCTCCAATGGTTTTCGGAAGGTGTAAAGCGCATGGAAACAGAATGCCCACCTTTCTCTCTGGTGGATTCCAATCGCCTGGGAAGGGAGAGCTTTGAGTTAGTAGAGCAATTCTTTATGGACTAATATTGGCACTTCAAACTGACTTGTTAGTTAGACTTGGAAAAAAGCAGATTTCATGACAGATTGTAGAAATTTGTAAATTTCGAAGTAATCCCTCCAGATCATACAACCTGGAACTCTGTCTCTCTGTGTGCGTGAGCTGAGTCGGCTCCGACTCGACAGCAATGAGTTGCTGAGTTTCTTATTTTGAGAAGTTATGTCAGCTTCCCTCTGCTATTCCGTGCACTACAGTCGCTCTTTCCCACCCTGTAGTCTCTATTTTTGGCTCGCATAACGCCTGCCCTTTGGCCTACTTCTTTTCGTTTCCCTTCAATCCTTAATTCTAGTAGTACAGACGCAGCCGCCAAATCCTCGCCTTCGTTCTCCCACCGTTTTCCCAGGAAACGGTCCTCAGAATCCTTCGGCGCAATCCCATCACCACCCGCGCGAAGCGCGCCAATGTTGGCCACCGTTGCCTAGCAATGTGCCACCGCTGAGGTTATCCCTCTATTGCGCATGCGACCCCACCCCTATTAGGTGCGCTGGGCGCCTCGGTCCCAAACTGGACCTGCGGTTAAGAAATCCGCCCTGGATTCTCCTCTAAAGTCTTGGAGCCGACTGCTTTTTCTGCCAGCTGTCGGAAAGTGATGTGAGGGTCTGAGAGACGCAAGCATCTGTGTCCGAAGCATCATATTTCAACGTCACGCCAATGGGAGTGCGTTGTCTGAAAAAATACTGGAGATGTAGGGCCAAGTCCTTGCACATCAGTGTGCCATCAGTTAGGAAGCACCCAAACCTGGTGGTTTGAACTTCAGTCTGCTCATTCTCTCAAGGAGCAGTTATCTCAGGGTTTTATAGATGAATGCTTGCACAGGGCCAAGATGATAGACGAAAGGAAGAGGGCGCTCAATGAATTTCTTTAGTGCAAACTGGAAACAGTGTAATGTAAATTTGTCTTCCTGCTGAGGTTAAGAAAATGCTTCGAAAACACAGGGGATTTTTAATGATGTAAACTCGCCAGGAGTCAGAATGGATTTCATGAAACTGATTTACTAATTTTTTATATCATACTTGTAGAGTAGGTAAGATAGCTCTCTCCCAGGAGAGTAAACTTAGTAAATAGATGAGAAAAAGAAGAGTTGCTCTGCATTGTGCTCAAAATTTGGGAGAAGAGGATGTCGAATGAGTATTATTATTATTATTATTCTAGTTTATTTACAAAAATAGAATACATTGTTTTCCAGAACAGATTCTTCCAATTTCCCTCATCCCCAACCCATCAAATTGTACCACCCCCTGTAAATCCCCTTCCCCTGCACATTTTCATCCCTCTATTTCCACCCTTCGCCCCCTTAGGATCCTTATACTTATTCTGCAATAATGGTTGTATACAGTATTTGTCCTTGTGGGACTGAGTTCACGCAGCATAATGCTCTCATTGCTGTGGTTTTGGAACCATCTCAGTTTACCCTCCAATGTGTTTGAACTTATCATGGACCACCAAGAAAACAAAGAGGTCTGCCTTGGAGAGGGTGAAACCAAATTTCTCCTTGGAGGCTAGGGTTTGAAGCTCTGTCTCCTGGCCACGTAGCCAGGAGGAACCAATCCTTGGAGAATGACATCGTTCTCGGAAGGGTGGAGAGAGACAGCGCAGGAGAGAAAAACCGCAGATAGGATGGATTGATACAGTAACTGGGGCAATGGAAGTAGCTGTTTCGGAGTCAATGAGAACGGCCTACGCCAGGGCAGGCTTCAGAGCTATTGTACACTGAGTCTCTATGAGTCGCAGGTGACTGGGCGGCACATAATAACAATTATATATATATATATATGATATATTCTCCTCTATTATTTTTTGATATATATAAGCTATATATGGTATCATATATATATGATATAGTCACATATCATATATATTCATATGGTATATATATATATGATATATTCTCCTCTGTATTATTCTTAGCATAAAGAGTTTAGGAGATTGGTGTCCATGCCAGAGCATTCATGCTCTAGCCTTTTATTTTGTAAATACCTACAGTATTAAAGTGCTATACTAGAAACTAGAGAAGGTAATACAATAATTATGTCCTTTAAGGACATAATTGTTCAGAAGGAAAAGAAAATTAAGGGATAAAGAGGAAACATTTTTAATAGAAGAATTTTTATTTTGAAAGTTACTCCTCCCCCCTTTTCTAGGAGTTTCAGATTTCAGTTTGCTTGTTTCCACAGTAAACATCCATGGTACCAGAAGTCAGGAATTCAAAAGATGAATTGCATTAGGTAAATTTGCCAAAGAGCAATAATATCAATCTGGAGACTAAGGTGTGCCTGATCCAGGCCATGGTCTTTGCAACTACTTGCTATGGATTGGGTAGCTGAACAATGACTCAGGATGATAGAAGAGAAATCTATTCCTTTGAATAGTAATGCTGGAGAAGAGTATTGAACATACTATGGACTGCCAAGAGAACAAACAGATCTGACCTAGAGAGGGTCAATCCAGGTTGCTCTTTGGAGGTAAGGATTTTGAAATTAGCTTTGACACATTTTGGCAATGTTGCCAGGAGGTAACAGTCCTTGGAAGAGTAGAGAGGAAGACCCTGGATGAGGGGAATTGACAAAGTAACTGGGGTAATAGAGGCAGGTGTATTGGACACAGTGAGATTGGCTTATGACAGGGTAGGGTTCAGAGTTATTGTGCAAAGAGTCACAATGAGTCACAGGTGACTCAAGGGTACATAACAACAACAGGAGTTATAGTAATAACTTTTTAAAATGTCTATAATGAAGTATGTGTCTTTTGTGACCACTCAGCATTATGTCTTCCACAGTCATCCTTGTTGTATAGTGTTTTATGAGTTTATTGCTCTTCGGTGCTGCATATTATTTCATTGTGTGGATGTATCACAGTTTATCCATTCATCTATTGATGGACACTTAGACTGCTTCTATTTCTTTGCTATTGTGAATAATGGTGCAATAAACATGGATGTGCATCATCTATTTGTATCACATCTCTAATTTCTTTTGGGTATATTCACAGTAAGGTGGGAATAACAAAAGACAACTCGAAGACAGCCGCTTGCCAGTTTTTTTCTCCCTACGAGTCTCTAGTCATGTCTGTTGGACACCACCTGGGCTCCTGCAAGGAGTAGATCTGAGTTCCATTCCTGGTCAATTTACCTTGTGTACAGTTGTTCATCTGTCAGCAGAAGCTTATTTACTGCCAGGATGCTGAACAGGCTGCAGTGAAACTACCAGATGATGGAAAGTTAGGAAGAAAGATCTGGCTTTCGACTTCCATGTGTCATAGGAAAGTCACTGGACTGGGCAGTGGTGAGGAATATAAGGTATTAGCATAATGCAGAGTATTACAAAAAGTAGGAGAGGCCCAGATGAAAGAACAGAGTAGCAAAATGTTTAGCATATGAAAAGATTTCAGAGAAGGAGCCTTATTGTGAACTCGGTAATTCTTTTTCTGCGTCCAAAGAGCATGCTGTTGAGAGACAACTTTTACCATATTGAGAACCATTCAGCTGAATGCACGTGCAATAAATACTCAACTTTATCAGGAAGCCTTATTAAAATATCTTCCAAATATGGTGGATGAAATAAGTTGCAATGTGAATGTTCTAGGCTTTCATAGTATGGCAGTACCCATAGATCAGATATCAATAAAAATTGGTAATATACTCTAATGTAAATAACAGATACTGTCTATATGATGGGGTAAAATGAAATTCAACAGAGTTTTAAATGTGTAAAAAATTTTTGTGTTATCAGATTTCCAGGCCTTTCTTTTGAGACATTAGATTGAACATCGATTCTGTCTTCACCATGACCATGTAATTAAAAAGGGAAAAAACGGTATGCATGAGATAAGGAACACTTGAATCAATTTAGGGTCAGCTCTAAGCTAAAGTTACCATTTCCATCTGTGAGGGAAAAAAACCAACTGAAGAAATAGGGCCCCTAAGAAAAGCAGGCACTCATGTGAAATCCGAATGGGACCTGGAAGAGGAGCTGTGTTACCAACAGCCAAGGTAAGTGCTTTGAGGTAGGGTGGTTTGCCCTGAGGTGCTGGGGAGAGGATAAGAGTTTTTTGGCCTAATGAGTAAGGAGTTGTGCTGCTAACCTAAAGTCAGGCAGTTTAAATTCACTAACTGCTCTGTCATAGAAAGATTGCAAAGATCTCTTTTGTGATTGGCAGCCTCTGGAAACCCGGTAGGGGGTCAACTATGAGTTGGTTCTGACTCCAACAATGACTGACTAGCTGATTGAGATATGTGTCAGGCAAGTTACAAGTGTAGATAATTATATTGGCAGGTTTCAGATAGAGATTAGAAATGAAATTAGAAAACATCTGTAAAGCACTCAGCAGTGCCTGGTATGTCGCGAGTGTCCAACAAATAGCACTAGTCTTTGTTGTTAATAGTGGTTACAAAGAAAGAACTAACTTGGTAAAGGAATGTTTCTGTTCCAACTTCACCGCCATTCCTTATTAAGTGCTTTCTGAGGAAAAGAAATAGGTTTCTGTAATAATATTTAATACCAGTGAAGCCTGATCTTGATATAATCTGATTCGGCACAAGTACTATAAATTGTTTTTAAACTTAAGAAATTAGAGACAAATTCTGATTTCATTTTAATTTATGGCAGTTAATTTAAACTTTATACTGAGTTTTAGGCTATAGATCTCACTTGAAATTGCAGTGCTTGAAATAGATGAGTTTTATTTCTTATTCTTTAAAGCTCTTGGAGAATGTAGTAAAGTTCTATCATTTTAGATCTCAGAATTAGCATTGAAAACATAGGATTCTTTGCCTGAATTGATGAAAGTAATTTATTGTTTGCTGTGTCAAGCAAAGCATGCTATTTGTCACATTGTGGTTTGTGTATCTTTTAAGAAGCTTTCAACTTTGATCTAAGTCAAAGTACACTCAGTAGCACAGATGACAGAGTTAAAACCAAAAAAAACCCCCAAACCAACAAAAAAACAGTGATGTGTATTGTCACTCACAGAAACTCTTTAAATCAACAAATATAAAGACTTAGAGAAAAAAAAAATTCATATTACTTTTAAAGAGGCTTGTACATTCTTGTGAGAAAGCAGTCTTCTGTCTTTCAAGGTGTGGAGCAATTTATTAGTTAAAGATTGAGTTGACTGTGTGCAATCAAAAGGTGCCTCTTCAAGGCCAGATCCTGGCCCTTGCTTGTATTTTTAGGTAAACAGTCAAATTTAAAAGACATCGCAGAACTGGGCTCAGTGCACATAAAAGCAGCTTTCTTAAACTGTCATCAGAGTGGATTTTAGAACGTGCTTTTAATACTTACTAGGTTGATGTTTGCCTTTTTTTAAAAAAATGCTATTTGAGATAGCTTTTCATTTAACTTTCACCTCTGCATGCCTTTCACCTGATTTGTGGCAGCCTTAAGGAAACTTACCTTGTTGTGAGACTAGACAAAGATTTAGAAAAATGATGCACAATGTGACCTTTAAAAGTCAAGGCTTGAAAAAAAAAATCCTTGTTTAAATACAGTAAGAAATGAATGAAAAAAACAAAGGCATGCAATCTTAATCTGAACATTTGGTTTCAGATTCTTTTTATTGAGTTTGTGATGTTTATATTGTGAGATTCAGGAATTGTCTCCCAGGATTCTTCCATTGTACTCTTCCACCTCATTGTAC